CGAGCATGTGCGCAAAAATAAATGTAACTGGTGTGGCATACATAGTTGCCACAATGTCCATGGAGGTGCAAAATGGCGGCATACATAGTTGCCGCGCTGTCGTCAAGGTGTTAACACATTGGCTCTCAAGAAAGACGTTCATTCTTCTTTTTTTGTTCAAAAAGAAAACATCCCACCGTAAGCGCATATACAATCAGGAGGCAGTGCACCGCTCCTATTGCTAATTCGATTCCTGCCGTTTTGAACGGAGGACGGGGAACACGAATGGGAAAAGCTTGGACTGTCTCTGCTCTTCCGTTCATTGTGGCATGTGCCTTGAAGTGTAACAGTATGTGCTGGAATAAGGGTTCGGCTCACATTTGTTGGGAGCGTAGCGGATGGCAAACATTGTGATGTGCTTTTATGCGCGATCATGCCATGTAGAGCATAGATGGTTTGAGCTAAGCGGTCACTATGAGATGAACTGTCCAACTATCGAATCTCGAGGTCAGCCAACTGAACAGAATTGAGCCATAGGAATAGGAAGACATTCGAAAGCTATAACGATGGGAGTTGGGACATGGGAGTTGTTCACGTTGTGCATTTCAAAGTGGGCAACGCGTGACCAACTGCCATGGAGCTGACACCGAAAGCTTCGGTTTTGTCTTTATTATTGCAAGATCTATTTTTCTAAGCGCACCTAGTTAGCTCATCATTTAAGCATGATGGTTTGGGAAAGTCTGATCGCGCCATTCATTTGCGGAGATGATCAGGACTGTCCTCCTGGTATGACCACCAAAACGGAGTTGGAGGCACAAAAGCAGAAGACCTATCGACAGCTGCGAACTGCTGAACTCCTTCATGACCATTCCATGGATGTAGATCTTGTTGTGATGTGAGTTATACCGCTTTGCTTTTGTTTCCGTCCAAGAAAAGTCGTCTTTTTGATTACAGAACCCTACCTGTACCACGTAAAGGTATGGTCAGCGCTTCACTGTACCTTTCATGGCTAGACATAATGACTCGACGGCTTCCACCCACCTTGCTGGTTCGTGGAAATCAGACCTCTGTTTTGACATTTTATTCGTAGATATAGCAATCATACAAGCGCTTTTCATTTCGTACATGTTTGATTTCCAAAAAATCGATTGTACTTTGAAATTTTGTAGGTTTAGTTTTTATTTATTTACATTCTCGTATTTTTTGAGAGCAATCAGTCAGAATACTGTCTGCCGGAAGAATCCGCAATAATTTTACAATTTATAGATTGTTAATAGTTATCATTATACGCACAAAATGTACACTCTGTAGAATTTCCGGTGTTGTGCGTCTCTTGTGATTTGTACATCTTTTCCAATACTTTTGAACAAGTGATTACTGACAAGTGTTTGTTTATAGAATTCAGGTTCACAATTTTATAATAATCACACTCACTGTTATGTATTTGTGTGCCTTCCATAGCTTTTATTTCTGTTTTGTATTTATGCTCACTATGTGAACATTTACAGAGTGCTCTTCACTCGGTATGCTATTATTTTCACACCCTTGTGAATTTGACATTGTTGTTGTTAATCAAATTCTATGCGGTAATAAAAAACATCCTAGCCTACAGAGATTTGATTGATAGGTTAGCGCCCAAACCGCAATCCTTTTCTGGCCATGGTGTGATGAGCCAAGTTCTGTTTTACAACCCCTTACTCGCGGAAATCCTTATGTCAGCCCTATTGAGTTCTCCTCCTCCGCACTCGAATGGTTGGAGGGATATTTACCTGAACGGGGTGTTTATCACGACATCGAGATTGTGGTGAAGCACATCAAGTCACAAATTTTACAAATTCTTCCTTTTTCTTTACTTTTTAATTCTGGTTTTACGATGAGAAGTCAGCTCATTGGTTAGAGTTCGTCAGTAACGCCAAAGAAGAAAAAACTGCGAAAAATAGCCTAGAACCCGAGGAGTGAGACCCTTGCTTGCCCGCTGATTTGCGCATTGATGCGACTCTCGTCGGTGCTGCCCTCTTCAACGCTAACGCTCTCTCTATGAAAGGACTAGAGACTCGGACACAAACGGTGTGAAAGAGGGCGTAGCGGGCCAACAGCGCGCTAACTGGGCCGCGGGGAAGGCCATGCTATTATAGATCGCCGGGATATCCTTCGATGCAGATTGCGTGTCGGTCCGCACTGGACGTCCGCCTGTCTCTTTACTAGGCATGTTCCCCCTATTTCGAGCTTCGCCCTTATCGTGGGATCCTTTGAATTTACGCTGAAAATCTGATTGTCAACCATCTTCGCATTTCCACTCAAGTTTACACCAGGGTCAAGCGTGTGTTGAGGAATCCTCGACAGGTTGGCAGGGGGGAGGTCGTATTGGCCGCTGGGGAAGGGATCGGGCCGGATTGATGCAGTAGGATCATCACTGTCGGAGGACAAACATCAAGGAGTGATCGATGCTGTGCAAGCTTGGCCAGAGGATTTCCAATAACAATTTTTTCCGCCCACATGGAAATTTTCGTGCTTCGAAGGGTCCATATATTTATTCCAAGTTACCTCGGTGATCTATACGACAAGGTTGAAGAATCCGAAATTCCCACGTTCCCGACGGATATTTCATCTTTCAAACGAGTCCACCCCTTGAAGGGCTGCGAAGCACACGGCGCGTCCCTGGAGCGGGCCCAGTCAGTTGCGCGCGCTTCAACTACGGCGCTCTTAAGAAAAATTCTCGATTCACTAAAAATAAAGGGGAATGTGAAAGGGGCCGCTTAAAATGACAGGGACGAACCCACTTTTCAATTACACATGCAGTTTTCAGCGTCAAATTCATAAGCATATGATCTTAGCTAGAATTTACGAACACTTTTACATTCCTATTCTATAGACCGTTTTGCCTACATTCTCCAAATTAGAACGCTTTGGTTCGATTCTTTCAGTGAGTCGCCTAATACGTGAACGCCGCAAGGGCGCTTCGTATGTTGTACATATTCTTATTTCGAGCGTACTTTTGATAAGGACCGGTGGATGTCCTACATTCCACACTACCTGCCCACATCCCATCCACTTTTCTGCACAGGTGATCCACCCTGGAGCTCCTGCACCCTTAGCCCTTTGCGGAGGTGTCCTTTCTCCTGGTCCAGGACCGTTCCCTTGGGTCATGGCAGGCGAAATGTGAAAACGTTTCAGGGTTTCTCACCCATTACACCAATATTTATCAGAAGTCTACTTTAAATGAGTCGATTACGTGTCGTGAGCCCTCTAATCCTTATCTTGAGTATTGGAGAAAAAATGGAGTGGCCCCCCCGAACTGGAGTTTCACCATTTGTACTCTTGCTCTGGATAAAAACTGACGTATCCCTGCCGAGGAATGCAAGAATTTTCTGTGGAATTTCCATAAAGACAGACTTGCTCGAGGGGGGCCTTAAAGGAAGCGATTACGATAAGGAATTTTCGCATCGGGGAGAACCTGCGCCACACGGAGCAATTACTTGGCTGCCAAGGAAGCGATGTGTGGCCCTCCCACGGCGAAAGGTGCTGTGGTTGCTGAGCAGGACCCGCGTGACGCTCCGCCCCCAGTGACGTACGCCCACTAGTTTTGTTGATGATCTGGATGGACTGTTTGCTGTTGGCTTTTCATTTTGGATGATCATTTCCCTTCTAGCGGCTGTATCTTCCAACTTGCCCACGTGGCGGCTATCGGGGTTAACACGTCCGAACAACGTCGTTCTTTACCGTCGCTCATCCATGGTCGAAAATGAAAGGGCAATCAAAGGGGTACTATTTTGCTTATTTTTGACGGATTTCTTTGCTTTTTTCGCCATTGGCGTACTATTGAGACCCTCACGTCCCCTCTAAACCCCTGTGAGATCTATCGTAATCGCTTCCTTTAAGAATACAAGACACATACGATTTGTTACGTTTGCATATGGACTCATAGTTGGTGTCCATCCCGATCAGGCATTCAATCGAGAAAAGTGGCGTTAAAATGTATATTTGGTGAGCGGACCAGACGGGGAAAACGCTGAAGAAGAAGAAGAAAACGATAATGAGGGGACTTGGTTAATTGGAGTGTATCACAGAAAACAGTAATTTTTGAACACACCATCAAATTGTTGTAGTACATCTTCACAACATGATTTTATTAACTAAAATTACATACAAAACATCGTTTGTAAGTTCACTTTGAAATGTAGTGAATTGTGATTCATTAACACAAACTTTAACAAACACGAGATCAAATGAACAGTTGAATTAACAACATTATTCCTGCAGAAAGAATCCCTGAAAGAAATCAATCAATTCCGTTGATTTTCTTTCCAGTTCTTCCTCTAGTCTTTCCTTCAGGCATCCCTCTTTCTTAAGAGGTCCCTCTTAAGAAAGTGGGATGCTAAGTTAATCGGGGAGGTGGGAAGGCAGTCACAGTTTGCCCTACCAGGCTGGGCAGTCTGGGTCAATGTCAAACTTTGCGAATCGCTCGATTGGCTGCTACCGCGACGCGACCGCGGACGCTAGCGAATCGCTCGACTCGCAAAGTCTGACATTGGACTTACGTGTCTGGGCATCCACATCCCCTCTTCTCTCACTTCTTACTCGTCGAGGCACCCACTCTCACTTCGTCTGAGAATCGTCTAGCACAAACCTGAGACGGGAATAGTGACAATCCACGACAAAGTGATATTTCTTAACAACGACCACTTAATAGGTTCTTTAGCTCGTAGCAAACCAACCGCGACCACTGAGCCTACCTAAAAATGAAGTCTCACTCTTACTTGCTGAAATTCATGGCACCTCCCACAAATTTTAGCATGTCGGTAGAGGTGGGGGTCATGGATCTATGGAAGTCTCAGAAATTGGAGTTGAATTGGTGGTAGCAATCTCTAACACTGCCTACATGAAACAGAGGGGTGTCCAGGGCTACTGATGAACCCATGAAAACATCCCTTAGTCTCCCACCCTTGAGCTTTCTCAAAACACTAAAGATGAAAAGTTTACAACCCACAACTGTTCGTCGACGGTCACGCACTGCAAATGAGGCCACCGCTGTGATATCAAAGGAGGAAGATCGTGGGTGTATCATTGTTGATTGCACCATATCACTATACAATTCTTACTTTTCCACGTTCTTCGTAGAGGAGACGGGCTCTTTGAATCAGGCTGACCTTGACCTCTGCCACTTGCGCGCGCTTTTCTCCATGGGGCCCGAGGCGTCCAAAAGAATTTTTACGCAACAATTAGAAGTTTTTCATCAATTTTTCGTCTCTCCGATATTCGATTATACAGGGTGTCCCATAAATACTGCACCACTTTTCTTTACTTGTAACTTCTCTCAAAATGGATGTATTTTCAAGAGGTTGCACACAATTCTTAGCATACATTCAAATGTTGAAAGGAATGACGTTTATTCGATGCCCCCTGTCACTGTCAGTATGACTCCCAATCGCTTCGAACGCAACTCTACTGTAACCCGCTTGGCATCCTGGGGTCCTTCTCCATTTCTTCGAAACTGCAGAGAAAAGGCTACATTTTATCATGTGGGTGCAATGCTTGAAGTGGGTTCTGCCTCCTAACATAGCCCACATAGGATGGTCCAGCACCTTGAATCAAGGATAGGAGAGCCATTCGTTTGAGGATGTGAAATCGGAAAGAGTGCCTTAACAGCGCTCCTGAACAATTTTTGCCTCCTATGCAGAAGCTGGGTCCTATTGAAAAGAACGCCGTTATTCTCAAAAGTGGTAGATGCCTAACTAACAAATTACCTCAGCTAGGTCTAGTGTTGAGTTGTACTCCCTTTTAAACAGGCAATGGTGGTGAGCGACCGGTAGTTAGGTAGTTGAGACCCTGTTAGACCATGATAAGGTTCGGCTGCGGCTTGAGGTAAATCTTCCTTCCTTTTTCATCGGCTTCCTCAAGGTCTTATGTGAATCCTCAAAATTAGGACATTGTGGCTCCTGTCGTGACTTCGTACGACTCATTCAACCAATGCCGTTCAATCCATCTCAAGGAGCAACGTCAGGTCCACCGCACAGGGGTCCCATCGCGAGCTGATACCGTATTATGCAAGCTGATACCGTATTATCATCGATACCAGCGGCCTAAAATTGGACTAGCCAGTCTCGTCGACATGTCTCCCGCCTGAGCGGTCGGTTCGCTCTCCCCACGTCGTTCCCACTCTGTACTGCGTCACTGCCCGCCTGCACGACGACGACTGCGGCCGTCAGATCAACGCGGATTGGGGCAACTCTTGGGCCATCTGCCGAGTCGGACAGCCCAGCATGACACACGTCTATTTCGCTGTGCTCCGGTACGTCCCTCGAGGGTGAGGATCGGCTAAGACCCCCAGTGAGGCCCAGAGAGTTCCCTTAACTTAGGCCGTTTATGTTGTCATATTACGCAGTTACCAATTCCCCATTAAAATTGATAATGATTGATTTTCCGTGTTGCTATGTCATTGAAGGTCTTAACTGTCATTTCATTGTGGGGATTATAGTCGCAGGCTCTTTAGTACTCCAGGTGAGTCTAGTAAACAACGATACATCTTAATTCCTTTCGCGTTAGCCAAAGCAAGGGCCTTAGGCCTCCCTAGTTCTTGGCCCTCTGGCATTCAGGTGAGCTCGCCGTAGAAGCCCTTCAAATTCCCTTCGTGCACCCCGTTCGAAAGGCTCACGGCACCGGCGATGCGTCCTAATCCTTGATCCCGAACCCAGCGCGCAGAACGTCAAGGCTCCGCAGTGGAATTTCCGTCCAACTAATGTGGGCCACCAATGGCCTTTTCGGCCCCGTGGCACCACCCTCTTCATAGTTTTTGCCCACTGCTGACCTCCGCTGTCTTTAATGAAGCGTTTTTGGCAGGATAGGATGGTGGATACATCTACTTCGACTGTGGACTCATAAGTTTCGGAGCCAATTATGAGGCAACTTTCGATGACGCCAGAATTTTCCACCCTTACCATGTATGGCCGCGGTCCGGCAATGTGCTCGGTTCGTGAACCCATGGGTATTTTCTTTCCGCCACATGTGCTCGTGGTACCGAGTATTTTTTGCTTCATGGTGGTGTCCAACACCTATTATTGCGATTCCTACATCGGCTAGTACATAGTCAGTGTAAAAGTTTTTCTTCGAAAGCGCAGCTAGACTACTGATCAGAAGATCTGCTTGATCCTTCTTTCTAGGCTATACTTATTCCAAGGAGATGCTAGAAATAGAACTTCGGCGTTTTAATCATATCACCCCGCTGACGCCTCATGGGGAGTAGTATATCTGCATATACTAATACCGTAGATAGCAAAGAGGACGGTTAAGAATCCAGGTAGGTGAAGTGCTGCATGTGGAAAAGTGCTTGTAGAAATTACTCATAACCATTTTGAATCGAGCTGAGAGTTCAACACAGAGGACTAACCTGGTGATTTTTGGTGGAGAAAAGCCAATGTAGAATAGGTAATAGCCATATCTTCAAGATAGTTTACAATAAAGTACCTACCAGGCAGTGCGTAGTGCTGATGGGAAGGCCAAACCGACTAGCAAGCATTGAGGTCACTGCCGCTCCGAATTCGATAGTAAAACCACTTAAACAATAAGTATAAAGACTCATAGTAATAACAACAAGTGGCCAATTCACGTAGCAGGCAACGTGTGTGCCACCTGTGCTAACACAGTTGTCGAAATTAAAGGCCATTAATACTAAACGTTCGCTGTGACGCATCAGCGTTGCCGAAGTTCTTTCCCTGCCTGCACCCCCACAGGGTAATATCGCAGAAGTTCAACTGCGATGGCGCCGGAAAACTGGTTTTTCTTGCCTAAACTCCCTCAACTCGAGTCGCAGAAGTTGGTATCCTCGTGATCATCCATTCTAATATGACATACTAGTGGGAGAACGTTTTGTGAACGAATACATCGAATCTATGCGGATTAATGTTCGGACAATGAAGCAGCAGCTATGAGGGAGGGAATAAACTTTTGTAGGGTCTCATATAAGGAAATCATGAATAAGCCCCCCAGCATACGGAAATATTGGAATGTGCGAGTTCATTGTAAGCTCCATACGCTATTTCGACGAGGGAACGCAGGCGACAGCAGAAAAAATTATAGCTCGCGCAAAAAGTGGAATGGGTCAACTCTACAAAAGTCCGCGCTAGACGGTTTTTGCCCATATTCCCTTTCAAACTTCCTTAGTGCTTGCCGTTCATTTTTCCATCAGAATCAGCAGTGAAGCTTCTAATTATATGTGTTCAATCAACAGCTGGCTTTTTCTATTAGTCCTCTTTAGTTTGTGCTCTAGAATTTTCCAGAGGGTACCAGAGCTTATTCTAGTCATATTTCCCACTCATCTCTTCTGTTATATTCTTCCGTTCAGTTTTCATAATCTTGAGTAGGATGCTTTCTGAGGTTAATGTTTCATTCAAAGAGATAATTAATAGGAAAGGGTTTGTACTTGATGACATTCTTACTGAAATTGTTGTAAGTTAGACAAACAGAAAACTGCCCTGGCCCTAGGAACGTATGCTATTCAACGAGGTTGTACGATGGTATACACATATTACTTCAAGTGCTACAAAAATAAAGGTATTTGGATAGTCGTGCTCTCTATGTATGTGAGTAGGTCGTCCATTACATGTGAAGAAAAAAATGATTAAAAAACAAACCCAAAGAGAGGGCAATTCTCCTTTGTTCTCATACGAAGTGTCGTCATTAGACTAAACTCCGAGAGTTATCAACAAGACCAGGTTGACAAAATGAGGTAACTTTACGGAAAGGAAGGGACACGAGAAATTTGGGAAACAAACACTTTAACAGCTAAGTAATGATGCTAGACGTAGCGTGATAGAACCCTTTGTCGTTCAAATTTGAGGACTGGCATACCGTGATGTGCTTGTTTCACAAATTTCGAGAACTCTATGATATTTGGCTTCAATGGAAGCCATAATCATGGTCCACCCTACCTGTCATCATTGTTTATAGCTTCTCGTTAACGTTCAGTTAGACTACCGACATCAGTAATCGAGAGTTTAGGTTTTCGCAAAACAAAGTAGAATGTCGACACAACTTCCGCTTGGGTGCTGGTGTTGAAATTTCTCCCATCCATCACGTTGGTGAACGACAAGTGATTTGAAGGCGAGAGGAGACTGGTTAAAACCGTCCTATTCGGCATGAGTTCCGACTTGAAGTTTGCTGTAGTATGCGAGCTGGCATTTACAGATCAAAAACAGACTTCCAGAAGAACTTGGAGCGAAATCTTTCCAGACCAACTTCTTGAGCTCTCATGTAAGAAATTGCGACTTTAAAGCCTAAGTGGTGATGGAATCGCGTCATACGTTTCCTTCGTGCGTGTGAGCACGGCTTCGTGGTCTTCCACTCAGCTGTTGTGGTTAGAAGCTTTATTCCTAGTTGCAC